CCGAGCTAGAGGATATTAGCAGATTAAAATTATATAAAAGAACCAAACAGAAATTCTGGAGTTGAAAATTGCAATACCTCAAGTGCGAAATTCACTAGAGATGCTCGACAGCAGATGTGAGTGAACAACAACAAGAAAAAATTAACAAGCGGACTTGAACATCAGTCAGTTGAGTTTATCCAGTCCGAGGAACAGAACAAAAAGAATGAGTGAAAAGGAAAAGTGTCAGAGACTCATGAGAAACATCAAATGTGCCAACATATGCATAACGGGAGCCCCGGTGGGTAGTGGTGGGGAGAGGGGAGACGCTGGAAGAACATGGGAAGAAACGTTGGCCTGAAAGTGTCCCCACTTGATGAAGAAGATCATTAATACATAGATCCAGGGAGGTCAACACACTCAGAGGGATCTGCACCTGGACATTCAAGCGAAGGGCTTCCTTGGCTCCTCTTAGACTGTTCTGGATTATAATTTGGTCTGTTGTGCCCTATCTTTTAGTAATAATACTGAATCCCTCCAGTTACACAACTTACACACATTTGGTGTCGCAAACAACGAGAAAATATAAAGCATATATAAATATCACAGATAATTAGTGCAGTGTCATCTTTTATACAATGAATTTTAATAATGTTTTAAACTCTTTTTATGAAAGTCTTTTTCCTCTTTGGAGTCAAGGTTCATTTCATGTGACTTAATTAATTTGACATTTTTTATTTCATATAAACAAACATGCAAATTAGTTATATACAGCTTTTAATATTTTATTTTAAATTAATTTACAGTGATTTAATTTGGTTAATATTACCATTTGAAGAGCAAATACTTAATCGTGATGTAATTTTTTGTTCCATAATAACTAGTCTCTCTTCTGTACATAACCAGGATCTAGATGTCTCTCTCATGTGAGTCCGTATTTAGATAGTTTGGAAAATAGCAGTGTCAGTTATTTAATGTTGTTGTTGTTATGTGCCGTCAAGTCGAACCTGACTTATAGCGACCCCTCCTTGGGTTTCCGAGGCAGTATCATTACGGAAGTAGATTGCCCCATGTTCCTTCTGAGGAGTGGCTGGTGGGTTTGAACTGCCAGCCTTAATAGGTAAGAAGTACTGAAACATTTCATAAATGACTATAAAACAAGATTTGGGGCAGAAAAAATGTGACAAATGAGGTCACCACATAGACATCATTTCATTGGCTGAACTTGGCCCTTATATTTTCCCCAAAACATATTAGGTGAACTCACTGAATTCTGTGAAAACCAGTAGGGAAAGGAGACATGTGGCGTCCAGCCGCTGTTTCTGAGCAGCGTAGGCTTAGTGGGCCGGCTGTGTTTCTGTTTTGTGCACTGACGTGGCCCGTTGCTGCTGAAAGCGATGAGAACTCCTGAAAAGTTACAAGCTTGCTGTCATGGATAACAGCCTGCATAGATGGGATCCCACATTCCACGCTGCTGTTCCTGCTTAACTCCCTGCTGGAGGGATGTGGGTTACATCCTCAAAGTGCTTTCGTGGCACAGCAGAGCGTTCTGGAACAGATTCAGTTAGCTTGGCGGAGATTCACGTTACCCACTGAGGGCGCGCTCTGTGAACGCTGCGCACGCACAATGGGAGATTAAAGGTAGGTTTGCCGACAACTCATCGGTATCTGGTTTGCTATTGTGAAAGGTTCCACTGGCCTCCATTTTTACTTCCATAACATGATCGCAGGTTATGCTTTACAAACTATATTTACGTGAATAGAACTTTCGATTGAAGTATCAAAATGGCTATTTCTTTTTCAAGTCATTCTTTTATCAGTTGGAGTAAAAATAAAATTAAGATTGTTAATGTACTGGGCAAGTATTTTGATATGTGTCATTAAAAAATGTTTTAAGATTCTATTTTAATACACTTTTCACTTTGTTTTATAACTGAGAAGGCAAGTTTTTATAGGGATTCCTAGTTTGGTCTGGGGAGCTCTGGTAGCGTAGTGCCTAAGGCACTTGACTGCTAACCAGAGGCTGACGGTCAAACCCACCAGCCACTCCTCGGAAGGAAGCATCTACTTTCGTAGTGATATTGCCTCGGAAACCCAAGGAGGGGTCACTATGAGTTGGGTCTGACTCAACAGCACACAACAGCAACAACAACAACGATAAAATTTTTTAAATGTGGTAGCTTGTGAGACCAAATCAAGGATTCTTTATTTTTCTTAGACATTTTGTTTGTTAAGGAAATTATTAATAACCATCTAATAGAACCTGAAATGATTAAATATTTTGTGTAACCCTTAACGTAAAAATACACCATAGATAAAAATACTTAGACTTCATATTAAGGCAAAGCCAAGACTCTAGACCAGTTCTGTAAAATGGCTCAATTCATACTGAGTGCTCGACTTGACTATACGCTTTGTAATCCATAAATGCTGGTGGAGAAGTCAGCCCGGCCAGCAACCATGACAATGGGATTTTTGGTTATGGTGGTTACTGTTCCTGTTTTGTTCCTGCCTTTGTGTTCTCTGTCTCATTGTCATACGACTGTCCCTACTGCTATTGAATTTCCTGGATTTTCTGCCACAGTGTTTCTCTTCAGAAGCACGTAATCTGTGTGTGGTGACTGTGCTTCAGTCACTGCTCCGGTCTCAGTGGTGAGAGAACAGCCTCCCTGTCCTCTCTTCTCATGCGGTACATCCGGGTTATTTCATCGGCTTCCTGGTTCCAGCCACCACCTCGGTTTGAATCATGCCCAAGCGTGTGGCTGTACTTCTCTTGACCTACACGTGTGAATCTCCCAGAGATCTGGCAGCGTCCGGGGACTGGATCTGCGGAAGGGCCTGCTCCTGTGCTAGCTTTCTCTCTTAGCAGTGTGGGCGCGTGCTCTCTCTCCCCCTTTAGATATTTTGGGACATCTTGATTGTTTCGCCTCCTTTTCATCTTCACTGCTGTTATTCTAATCTCAGTCTTAATCTTCTGTGTCACGTGGTTTTATAAAAAAAGTCCAAACTGGTATCTTTACCACTGATGTTTTGCCTTCTCTAGTTCTTTGCTACTAGTATTAGTAAGATTCTCTGTCTTAGGAAAACATTTCTGCATTCCTTATAATGTAAATCTTGGGACCAACACAGAGTAAGTCTACACTGTTTCTCATATTGATTCACATGGTGTTTGAATAGTGTTGTTAGGTGTCCCATATTAATCTTCCCCTCTTTCGGTTCTCACATCCTAGACCAGACGTACAAGCAGAACTAAAAGCTCTTTGATAAGTGAGAGGATAACTACAGTACGACATTGAACTGTGGGAGATTTCTGTTTCTTAGTGAATTTAGGTGAATGTGGCACATTCAGAAGTTGGCATAACAGGAGGCAGTGATTTATTCCTAAATTAACATATGGGTTTAATACAATTTGCACCAAAAGAAAAGGGGCATTGAAATCCAAGAAAAGGAGGTTTTCTTTGTTTTGAAAACTTGACAAATTTTTTCTGAAATTTATCTGGAAAAATTAATACATTTACATCCTTATTTATTTGGAATACCATGACATTAATCTAGTTTCAGGAAATAAGCTGAACTTTCCCGTAGATGGGGCCGCAGAGCTGAGCCTTGTTACTAGAAGCCCCTTCACAGTGCGTGGGGTATTTTAGTGTCTGCACCCAGATTTTCCACCAATTTTGGTCCCCCACCCCCACCTCCGTAGTATCATCCAAGCAGAATTTCTCCCTGTTTCCTTGGAGATTTCCCCGATGCTTTTGAGAGCTGTGTCTCTGCAGTCAGGGGGCTGCCTGCTTCCCCTGTGGGGCGCTCTCCTGACTTCTTCCCCAATGGCCTTTCTAAACACACAGGCAGAGGGACAGGGCGGGGTCACTCACTGCACATCTTACAGTGGCGAGAAATACCACGAGAAGTTTGGCTGCCCCTTCTTGTTTGACCAAGGAGACTGCTGAACTGTAAGCTAAGATAATTGAACTAAGTAGCATTGATGGGCCATCTCCTTTGGGCGGGAGCTGCTCGCAGTTGATACATGGTCTTTTAATGGGACTGTATCTTCCTCACTGTGACTCGATTAGGTGGAAGACCTCCCTCCTCATTCCCGGGGTACTGATGAGGAAATGCCATCTGAATTAGATAAAGTGTTCGAGGTGATCATTTCAAATTAGATCATGTTTTATTATATGGCAAATTACATTATCTTGACCTTTGCATAATGAGGTTTGCCCTGAATTTAGTATTTTTTAAGGTTTTTTTCCTCATTTTAGCTGTTTCACTTGGTACTTTGATAATGTGTCTTCTGATATGTGTGTGGATGTGTGAGTCCGTCTGTCTGTCTACTCCCAATTCAAGTCCTCACACAGTGAAATTGCCATTTTTGCACAAAGAACGAGCGCTACATTCACAATGACTTTGCTGAGTGGCCGCAGCAGGCCTCTGACATTCCCAGGAGCGTTGCTCTGCTCTTCAGGGCTTGACTCTGGGCCTGTCCTCATTATTTCCCATGCCCTTCAGTTTGCTGGAAACTTTGGAATCCTATACGTGTAGTTGTCAGTGAGATAGTCAAAAGCTTGGAATCCTTGGATTAAACATCCCCGATGGATTTTTATCATTGGTATTAAAGTAGCAAATGAAGCACACACATGACTTCAAAATTTTAAGAAAAATATTAGAAAGGCGTCTGCCTTCCCTGCTTGATTGGATGAAAGGATGGACGGAGGCCTCAGATCGTACTTAGTGACCAGCCGCACAGGAAGCTGGTGGGGACAATCTTCGGATGCTGTGAAAGGCATCCGTTTGACAGGGCAGGTGACTATGAAAGAAAGGGCTTCGTGTTGATGCTGTCACACAAACTGTTGACAGGTGTGAATGGATGACACGTTGAACCAGGTTGTGTTACACACAGAGTGTTGCTTTCTCACAGATTTGTTTTTCTTTATTCTATTATATGAGAATATTTGGTTTACAATACAGGGTTTTCACGTGTGAAGCTTTTGAAATTTAAACCAATAAATCCGTTTTCATTACAGAAACACCTGCTACATTTCCAGACCCTCTAAAGGAAAAGGAAACAGCAGCCCCTGGCGAAGATGTTCCGCTGGAGAGTTCCATTCGTCACGCCGAGTCAGGAGCTGGAGAGGAGCAGGTGGCCAGCATCTTGAACGGGGCCGAACTGGAGGCCGGTGCGGGTGCCGACACCATGGGGGACCTGCTGTCCACTCTGTCCTCAGAAGTGAAGAAATCGCAGGAGAGCTTAGCAGAGAACCCCAGTGAGCTGCTGAAGCCAGCTCCGTCCATCTCGAGCATCAGTCAGACCAAGGGCATCAATGTCAAGGAGATACTGAAGAGCCTCGTGGCAGCCCCCGTGGAGATCGCAGAATGTGGGCCCGAGCCTATCCCATACCCAGACCCGGCGCTAAAGAGAGAGGCCCAGGCCATTCTCCCAATGCAGTTTCATTCCTTTGACAGGTAGGTGCTGCAGGGACCATTCACGGTGCTCTAGACGTGGAAGGAAAATTAGAGCCTATTCGTTGACACATAGTGAGAGAGCTCTTGAGACGCTGTACTCACAAACACAGTTCCATAAGTTGTTGTTGTTATTTGCCATCAAAGCGTCTCTGACTTTATAAACACTGTCAAAGTGACTGACCGACTGAATTGAACTCACAATGAGGTGTATCCATAATACAACCCCTAAAGGGCTTCAGTGGGTTCCAGTGAGGAGCACACTGAGTTGGAAGTAAGGAAACCTGGCTTCCGGTTCTAACACACCATTATGTGATTGTAGCACATTCTGGAGTCATTTTCTCTCTTCAGACCTTGCCTGTTTCACATATAAGCGGGGAGAAAACCAACCACATCTCCCTACACGGTCCTTTGGGGTCTGAGATCCTACACTAATATTATAGAACTCGGTTAGAGTTAGTGGAGCTTAACTATCTTACTGTAAAAGACAGCATTCCAAAGTGAGACTGAATGCAAGTATATGGAAAAGATACGTTGCTTGTGGTCCCTTCCCTTACAGTCTCCTCTTGTCGGTGCAGAAGCCATCTTTGAGGTAGGTGTTTGAGAGTAAAGACCGACGAAAGGCACTGTAGGTTCCAGATGTAGGTCTGTGGTTCTGAGCATCCATTTGGGCGCCGTCCAACTGCATCTGGGTCTGTAGGACCATGGAGTGATTTTTTCCAAAAGGGAAGGTCACTCTCCTTTTGCTTATTACTCCCCCTAATGGTTTCAAGACCCCAAACCCAGACTCTTGGAGCACTGGCCCCCACGAGGGTGGAATACACTCAGGTGAGCAGAGGGCGTAGCCTGGGTGTGGGTTCTTGGGCTTTGCTTGGTGGGCAGGCAGGTGGTGGTAGGGGCCGCGGGTCCTGGACGGGTCCCGCTCCTGAGGCAGGCCATACGGCAGGCAGGGCTGGGCGCGCACCGCCGCCCTCACGTGCCTCTTTGCACCCTGCTCCTGTCCTCACCGTCTCAGCTGCCTTTCCCGCGGCTGCCGCTCCTCCAGCCTCTGCAGCCGCAGTGGTAGCAGCGCCAACAGGGACCCCAGGAAACGGACTCCCTTAAGACTTAACATGGTGTCCACACAACTTCCAGATCACACAGTGTCTTACTTTGCAGAACGAATTGTGGATGTTAAGTGCTGCATACCCATACTTAGAACGTGGCTTCTTTGTCCAGATAAATATGTTAAATCATACAAGAATTTTTAGTTGAAGAATTGAGAAATCTTTTTTCTGTTCCAAAATGCAGTCAATAAAAGTGATAGTTCACAAAAGCAGAATAAAACAATATCCTTTAGAAACAAAAACGTGTATGTGGAATATATCCTACTATTTAAAAACATGTGCAACATAGAGTCTGATGGTGCAATGCCTAAGGCACTTGACTGCTAACCAGAAGGCTGCCGGTTCAAACCCACCAGCCACTCCTCGGAAGGAAGGTTGGGTAATCTACTTCCGTAGTGATCCTGCCTCAAAAACCCAAAGAGGGGTCGCTGTGAGTCAGGTCCAACCCAACAGCAGTGAGTGAGTGCAGCACAGGAAAATATTTTAGATAATCACTGATCGTTAAGCATAAAACTTGACTCTGAACACTGGGATTGATGTATATTGCACACTGTATTTGCATGTCTGTGTATATACCAGAGAGCACGCTGGTTTACCACCTGAGTCACGCTGTTACTGATGTTTAAGGGCACTCTTTCATATGTGTCTGTATGTATTTATGTGAACATGAGCTCTGTGAGGTGACTGACAAGCCAGTGCTGTTTATTTTGGGGAGATAACATCAAGTGGGGAAACTGAATGAGTCCTGCCCTGGATCGTCCAAACTGGAATCTACCCCCAGTGCAACATGTAGTCCACGGGACCTTCTTTCAGTGGCCACACTCCTTTGTCCTGAGCAGAGACGTGTGTTCTCCATTGTGCAGAGCAGACGGGTGGCAGTGAGGCACCTAGCACCCTCCGTTAGGCGGAGTGGTCTTTGGACACAAACATCGTGACGGCGTCTCCTGTGAGCATTTTGCCGGTATCCACCAGCTTTCTCTTGAGGATCTGTGATAGCTGTGGCGCTAGTTACCCCATGGGCGGGAAAGTGAAGCCCCTTTGTCTTCCTCGAGCCTCCCCACGAGCAGGCAGAGTTCGGTTGCCGGTAGAACAGTGCCTTTGAAGGTGAATTCTTTGTGCTCGAAGCTTGGAAAATGCAAGAGGGGACACTGTACAATGGGGAGAAGTGCTCTTTTTCATATTTCTCTTGCACAGTTCGTGTTCCTGTCGTATCCAGGTGTCCATTCCCGTAGTTCTGTGGACATCCCTTTCGCCGTTCCGTGTGAGTGGCCTCTGTGTCACATGTTTGGTTTATGTCCCCAGGATCCTGTGCCCACATGCTCATGAATGGATAGATGCGTCAAGCACACGCACAGCCAAGTAAATGCGACCGTCCTTTAATTTCGGGTCATTAAAATTTCATTTTCAATTGACTTTTAAGTGATGTGTTTAAATTTTTTATGTACAGAATGATGAACACCAAGTATTACTGTGATTTGTGTAAAAGAATTGAATGAAATACAGTAAAGAACACATTTTGGTTTGAAGACACATTATCCTCCAAATGCTTTTATTTCTCATTAAAACTTCAGAAAGCAATCACCCGAGAGCCACTATTCCCAGCTACTCAGAATTTATCATGCTTTTGCTAATATGGCTTTAAGAATAAAAAACAGAACTTCTCGTCGCTCCTGGCAGCACCAGTGCAAAATACAGTGGGGTAGAATCCTTGTTCTGACCGGCCCACAGCATGATGAAATGGGAAGGCACAAAGCGCACCCCAGTCCTTTGTAGGAAGAGGGTCTCTGGTGGGTTAATGTATGCGACGGCTCAGGAACCTCAGATGGAAATGATGAGGAGATGGTGATGAAAGGACGGACGGAGGTCTCAGGGGCGCTGATGACGGATTGAACAGAAGTGCCCTGCGCCGCCCGTAACTCAAGTCTGTCGTCCTCACCGCTCGACGCCCTAATGGGAGGTGGCAGTCTGAAATGAGTTGCCACGGCAAAGAGTATTATTTTTGAAATGCTTTCACACAAGTCGCCAGGCACTGCATACAACTTAGTTTCATGCTTTAATGTCATCAGGAGGCACAAATTGGTGTGTCTAATTGTTTGCCACCTGCTAGCAAAATGAGCTGCCAGCCAGCGGACGGGCTGGATCGTCTGTCAGCCGCTCCCGAGATGGAGAGTGACAACATCAAACATGTGGCGGGGAGCTTGGCTGAGGCATCAGCCCCACGCCCACCCTGCACAGCGGGCTCTGCAATCCTGTTTGCAGGACGTCGCTGCCTTTTGCCTTCTCTGTCTCACGGTGGCCACGCTTCCATCCCGAGGTAGATGAACATGGTTCAGAAGCACTGAAGGCCAGTTATGACATGTCTTTTCACATCGGATTGGAGTCTTTGGAAATGGGATCCAAGGACAGGCTTTAGAACCGTAGTCACTTTCAAGCACAGGATGGTAATGAGTCTTCCTCTGCCAGTGACGTCTTGTTCATTTGTAGCTTTACTTGAAAAATGCATATGAACTCAGGCTCATTTCCCTGTAACTAAGCTGTGCTTCCTAATCACATTGTACAGTCCTCCCACACATCACTGTGGCTTTCAGACATGTAACCATTGTAGGCACGGTCTACTGGAAGTGCCAGTGGTGTGTTCTCTCACACGTGTGACCCCGCATAGGCACGGTGCACTGGAGATGCCAGCGGTGTGTTCTTTCATGCACGTAACCGGTCGTATGTGCAGTCTACTGGAGATGCCAGCGGTGTGTTCTCTCACCCGTGTGACCAGTCGTAGGTGCGTTCTACTGGAGGTGCCATCAGTGTGTTCCTTCACACATGTAACCAGTTGTATGCACAGTCTCCTGGAGATGCTAGCAGCGTTTTCTTTCACATGTGTAACCAGTCGTATGCACAGTCTACGCAGATGGCCAGCGAAGTGTTCTTTATCCTCATTTCAGGTCATGCGTTTGGAAATAGCTTCCTAAAACAGTGGCTGTAATTTGAACTCTGTTAATGTAGCTTCTGTCAAGGTTATTCCTCCTCATTCAGCATAGGGTGCTGCTGAATGTCACCATTTTGAAGCTTTTAGTATCATTTTAATTAAGTAAATGGCAGTATCACATTTTAGAAATGTTTACACTTACCTAGAATCAGCGTTTTTTAGTAGTGCATTTTTTTGTTGGATTGTATTATGATGCGTAGCTAAATATCTGCATATGTGGGATGCACTGGTGTCTCTCCTTTTGTTTCCCCCAGTCGTCTGTGCAGAGTGCAGGGTGCATCTTTAATCACAGAGCAGCCTGACGTATAGGTGTGTATGGAAAGTGCTAGAAGGTCAGGGTCCACCAGTGCTGTCCAGCAGTATGGCAATGCCATCTACCTACGACTGTTGTTGTTGTTGTTGTTAGGTGCCTTTGAGTTGTTCCTGACTCATAGCGACCCCATGCACACCAGAACGAAACACTGCCCGATCCCACGCCAGCTCCATGATCCCTGCTGTACTTGAGCCCATCACTGCAGCCACCGTGTCAATCCATTTCTTTGAAGGCCTTCCCCTCTTTCGTCGGCCCTCCACCCTTCTCCAGGGAATGGAATGGTCCCTTCTGACAGCATGACCAAAGTAGGTGAGACAGTCTGGCCATTCTCGCTTCCAAGGAGCATTTCGGGTGCACTTCCTCCAGGACAGATCTGTTAGTTCTTTTAGCAGTCCACGGTACTTTCAGTATTCTTTGCCAGCACCACAACTCAAAAGCATCAACT